GGGAGGGAGGGAGGGAGGGAGGGAGGGAGGGAGGGAGGAGGCGTCTTCAGACTTGCAAGATTCTGCTACTGTAACCTTATAATAAAAGTAGAACTAGCTTAAAAGGCTGACTTCATGTAGGAGAATCCATCCCCAGATTATTTACAGTATATCACCTAGACTTACAGAACATAAATGAGCTTGATCATTTTCTCACATTCAAGCCTAGACTGCAAATACAAAGGAAGTACACCAACTCACGTACACGGTTGTTCCAACTCCAGCACACGTAGAGCATCTCTGACTGCCGACCTGGATTCCTGTTCCATTACATACCCAACATTGCTTCTGTTGACACATAACATTAAATAGAAAAGAACTAAATTAACTGGATTTCCACCAACAAAATTTTCATTAGTCAAAAGCAGATCTCTGTGCTCCTCTTTAAAAAAACAACATTCTATACAGAGTGGCTTTAAGACTATGTAGGATTGTGAATGTGCCTAGGAAGATGTCTCATTACGAAATTCCTTTCCTCTAAAAATTCTTCTTTCCATGTAAACTTCCATCAGTTTGTACAGTTCCTTTCCCAAGGGTTGATAGAATAGTAAACAAAATAACCCGAGCTGCTGGTATGAGGGGAGAGATGCCCAGCCATTAACGTCATTATTCTTTCTGTAAATAAATTCACACTGAAAACTGTGGACATAGTGTGCAGCCAGGTGCTATTTGCAACAGCGGCAACCATTGCTGAATATCCTCTATGACTAAGTGCATCACCACTTACAATGGAACCAGAAGCTCTGCATGGCAGCTTCTTGGCATGACACTGTAAGGACAATGATTGGTGATTTCCTCTAGCTAAAATACGAAGGTCACCAACTACAGAAAAAGCTGCTACCAATCCCCATAAAAACCGTATGCTGTGGTGGCCTTTGTAAGGTCCTTTGTAAATGTCCAGATTGACATTTTCCCAAAGGATTGTCAATCTATTAAACTAATGACCACTAGATGGCAAAAAAGTTAAGAGTCTTAACTGCAGAAGAATGGTCACCTGGATTTGTGCAGCTGAGATGAAGCTGCTGCTAAGCCTTCTTGTGGATGGAGTTCAAGAAAGGGGTTTGGTGTGGTGAGAAACATATCCAACTGTGGGGTGCTCCTGAGTACATCCACATAATTTATCCAAAATGGCCAGTTGACCAGTCAACCTATTATTGACTACTAGGTGGTTAAATAGAGGTCTTTAAGATTTTTTTATCCTGCCTTTATTATATTTAAAAATAACTCAAGGCAGTGTACCTAATACTCCTTCCTCCTTCTATTTTCCTCTCTTTGATGTCTCTTTGTTTTGGTTTTGTTTTGTTTTGTTCTGTCTCTCTTGGCTGCCATCCAGCAGTCATACAGATTTGTGCAACTAAGGTCCAGGTGCTGGATAAGTGTTCTTGAAGAGCTGGAGTCTGAGAAATACTTTCCTGATTCTTGTGTCAAATTACAGCAAATTACAGTTCTGGACATCCCAAAGGGAAGGAGAGGAAAAACGTGGCTCCATGTTGAAGCCATATCTGTACCAGGTTTCATTCTACAATAGAATGATCCTTTTAAAAAGAACATTGTGTGAGGGGCAAGGTGGTTCTCTGCCAGCTACAGAAGTATAAGAGCCCAGTCCTTTCAACTACATTTTCAACTACAGGCAAGTCAGTTTCAGAGCTGTGCAATCTCTAGGTCTACCAGTGGACCTGTTTAAGAAAGAAAAGGGAGTGCTGTGAAAGCTGAGTTTGCAATCTTCTTCACAACCAAACAGGGACAACAGGGACTGGACAGAAGGAGGAAGTTCCAAACTAGAACTCCTGGGCCAGTTGTAAGCAAGTAGATGTTTGCTCCAACCAGATCACCTCAAGCCTCTTCTGTGCACCATGGAATGTCCAGGTGGGAGAGCTTCTTTCATTTTCCTGTCGAAAACACTCCTCCATGCTTGAATATCTTGAATGGGCTTCAGTCTGCCTCCGCAGAAGATTACCAATGAAATGGAGACTCTGTTGTGAGGACATATCCTCAAAAAATGGTACGTTGGGCATCTTTGGTAAGCAGGTTGCATGAATGACCCATCAGATATCAGATAAGAACTCTTTCCGCTGGCAAGCTTTTCAACCATTATACTTTCATTAGTACTACTGCCAGCTTTTTATCATTTATATCAGCCCAATTTGCAAACTGCTCCAAAGACATCATCTTTTCCATTTTTTAAAACTTTTCTTCAAGGGAAAAAACCTGAAGAACTATACCAAGCAAGATATTTCTCTTACTTAGAAGTACATACCCTCGTGAGGCAATGGCACTGGTTGCAGGGACATCTGCCAATACTCCTACATATTGGACATCCCTTCAAATAAAAACAGTGTTAAAATGCAGTCGTTCACTTTTACTGTAAGTGACTCTACTTTGACAAGAAATACAAAACGATTCATCAGAGCCAGAAAGTGATTTTCCATTTCTCTTTCCTTATTTTCCCCAGGGTGTTTCCAACCTCTCCACCAACATTGCCTTATTCTCACACTGTAATGGCCTTTCTAAGGCTTCTAGAGGGGTTTCTCTTCTTTGTCGTCATATATTAATTTATCATAAATTTCTGCAGAACAGCCAACCACATCATTCTTATATTTTTTTGTTTTCATAGCCAATTATAGCCCTCACCTTATTAGCCCTAAAGAGCACCATCCCTCTCCACAGTTCCCTCTTGGAAATCCTTACCACAGCCCCCCCCCAAAAAAAAGTCAGAGGTGGAAATGGTTGCTTCAAAGCACTCTGAATTTATGATTTCTGTAACAGCAGCAACAGTATTATGTGCTTGGCAAAGTTCTGCACCAACAATAAAAGAAATGGTATACTATATTTAGTTGTTCATAATCGTATTATAAATGTACATACAATCATTTACTTTTGTATATCTCATAACAATAATCCTCAGTTTCCAAAGGATCTTTAGGGTTTTTCTACTGTGCTGTTTTTCATTCTTCCTTGAATAGCAAGAGATTCCAAACATTAAGAAGAGTCCTATAAATAAACTACTACCCAGTAATATATGCAAGGCAATAGACTTGCTTTCCCAGAAAATCTCTCCAAAACCAGTCCCAGTTGGTTTCATTTGCTTAAATCATCAAGAGTCCACATCTCTACTCCCCATCCTATCAGAGTGAGTCTGCATCACAGTCTAACAGTGAGGACAAAACGAGGCACAGTTTGTACATTATGTTTACCTAAGCTTATATTTAAGCCTCAAACATGTCCATCTCTGCCTACTGGCATCTCCCATGAACAGCATGTTTAATACATCTCTCTGGTCATGGTTTGTTTAAAAGGCAGCATGTCTGAATGCAGAACGTGTGCAACATTTAATTATCTGCCTCTTCTCTAAGCTAGAAAGAAAACTGGGGCTGGTCATTTAGGAAAAATGGCTACTAAAGCACACTCAGCACTCCCCCTAAAAAACCCAGTCTCCACACAGGAAAGGTGGACAGGACTGCCTTGACACTAAGTAGCTAAGGTGCTCTGAATGCTTTCTTCAATCAGCCCCAAAGAAATCCCCATTAATGTTCCACTGTGGCAGAAATTTGAGCAAAAGTGCAAAGTCAGTGATCGCTGACCTTCTTTCAAGAAATAGCAAGAGCTCAGGAATTTAGGCTGCAATCATGTGCACATTACACCTCCCAAACCGAGCTCTGCCTAATGCAATGCAGTTTAAATTGTCCAAATAAATAAATAATGTAAAGCAAAGAAAGGGATTGTACTGAAGAGAGAGAGCAGGGTCTTGGAAACCAGAATTTTGTCACATTTTTGCTTTCTGTACCTTTACTGATGATGTGTGAGGCACTTTAACTCTTGCGATATTGTCTTTGAATATTTCAGGAACTTCTACTCTCAGTTCCCAGGGAGAAGGAGCTCCACCATACATAGCAGAATCTATAGGTTCTCCTGATAGAAGGCAAGGATGATCGGACAGTGTCATGATATTCTATCTTATACATGAACATTTCGGCAGCACAGCTTGGGATATGTATTTTTAATTCCAATAGAAGAGAATATCTGTAGCTCAGGGTTGAACTGTGGAGTCCTTGGTGCTCTCCTTAGTCTTTGGTTTTTTTTTATCTTAATACTTTTTTTACATCGGGGGCGTAATAATATCGCTGACAAA